GCATTTTTTTTTTTAATAAACAGCCTCTTTTGAAATGTCTCTGGGGGAAGCCAAGACTCCAGCTGAGCCCTGGCCCGGAGGAAGGAGCAGGGGTTGGGGGAGCGTGCGAATATCTGTGGGTGCGTGCAGGCAAGCATGTGTGTGCGGGAGCGCGCAGGCACCCGTGGGGGCACTCTCGGGGAGGGGGCTCCACTGGAGCGTGCGAGCACACCCGGAGCTGTGAAAGCCCAGGAGTTCCCCAGGGACAAGGAGGCGGGGGGCTCCTCCCCATCTCTCTCGGTCCAGGTGTCCCATCAAACCCCCCCTCACACCCCTGCTCTCCTGCTCCTCTGTGTGGTCCCCCCCAGGCCCAGGGCCGGGCTTTGAAATCTGTTGAAAAGAGACCCTTTTTGCCAAAATAAACAGCCTGTCATGTTAAATTACTCTCCCTTCCTCTCTACCTCCTCTGCCTGCATCCCCCCCTTCCCATCCCAGCCTTTTTGCTGGGGGCTTGCCACTCCGGGCAAACTCCTGACTCCAGTGGGAGGCTCATGGGGTGTAGGGGTGCCAGTGTTGGGGCCAGTGCAGAGCCGGGGCACTGGGGCAGAGCATCATCTACCTCCCACATCCCTGTCTCCCTGTCCCCTGCTAGCTCCTCCGCCCACCAGCTCAACCCCGTGATGTCTTTCTGCTGGGTGGTAATGGCACCTGGCAGGGTCCAGGGCTCAGCGGTGACACTGCGCACAGCATCCTATGGAGAGGAGAGCTGGCTGAGGGACGCTAGGGGCTCGCTGCAGCCCCTCGCCCACCGCTGCCATGTCCAGTGCTCCCCTGCCCCCAGGTTTTTTCCTCTCTCTCTCTTGCCCTTGCTCTTATTTTTGGATTGTTTTCTCTCTCCTGTTTCTAACGGAGTGAAAATTCATAGAACCATAAAATGCCGAGATGGAAAAGGAGTGATTAGCTCATTCAGCCCGGCTCCTCTGCCAGTGCCAGGCCGTTCCCCACCAGCCTCCCAGTGACTCGTCCAGACTGAGCACCGCGTGCTCCAGCCATGTCTTCCACGGCCTAACTGACCTTCTTGCTAGGAAATTTTCCCCCCTGTCTCACCTCCAATGGTGATTTGCTACATTTGAGCCTATCGCTGGGTTACGTGTCCTGGCGCTGCCCTGAACGCCCAGCCCTGCACTGTGCCTGGCCATGCCGCTCACCCCCACACACGGCATGTCCCAGGCAGGGCTCAGACCTCCGGTGTCTTGTTGCTTCCTCTGCATGGGATGGAGCTTCTGCTGTCTCCCCACTGCCCCGACCTGCGCCATCCCCTACCCGTGCCATCCCCTCCCCACACCAGCTCCTCTCCCTCCTGCTGGGTGGGATCTGCCTTGGCCTCCCGCAGTGCCCAGCTTGGGCTCTCCAGGGGTGGCAGGGAGGGATGCTAGTGGGCACAGAGTGGCCTCACGCCCCACGGCCCCCATGCAAAGCTCACAGCACTGGGCAACCTTCCCTCGGCAGGCAAAATGCAGGCAGGGGACAGAACTGCCACGCTAAGCTGCCTGCTTGGCCTTGGTGGCCATCTCCCTGCATTGAGGGAGACCCCCCTCTGCACCCCCGCACACCCTGCCAAGCTGGCCCATGGCCTGGGGTGTCGGGCAGCATCTGGCAGCACCTCTGACTGCTCCCACTTCTCCTGGCTGGCCAGCTGTGTCACCAGCCGTGCCACCAGCTGGCACTGCTCCCTGGCCAGGTCTTCCTTCTCTCTCTGTGCCTGCAGCAGAGCTGCTGCCTGCACTGCCTGCACTGCCTGTGCCTGGCAGCAGCAGGGTAGCTGCTCCTCCAGGGCCTGCTCCCAGCCCCTTGCCTGTGGGGAAGAGGAGGCAGAAGGGGAAGGGGAAGGGGAAAGGGAAGGAGGAAGGGGAAGGGGGAAGGGGAAGAGGAAGAGAAAGGGGAAGGGGAAAGGGGAAGGGGAAAGGCGAATGGGAAAGGAGAAAGGAAGAGTGAAGAAGGAAGTGGAAGGGGAAAGAGGAAGGAGGAAGGGGAAGGGGAAAGGGGAAAGAAGAAGGGGAAAGGGGAATGGGAAAGAAGAAAGAAGAAGGGTGAAGAAGCAATGGGAAGGGGGAAAGAGGAAGGAAAGCGGGGGAAGGGGAAGGGGGAGGGGAGGGAAAAGGGAAAAGAAGAAGGGGAAAGGGGAATGGGAAAGAAGAAAGAAGAAGGGTGAAGAAGCAATGGGAAGGGGGAAAGAGGAAAGAGGAAGGGGAAATGGGAAGGGAAAGGGGAAAGGGCGAGGAGGAAAGAGAAGGGGGAAGGAGGAAGGGGAAAAGAGGAAGGAGGATGGGGAAAGAGGAAGGGGAAAAGAGGAAGGAGGATGGGGAAAGGGGAAGGGGAAAAGAGGATGGAGGTTGGGGAAAGGGGAAGGCCCCAGCTTGCGGGAAGGGGCAGAGGGCAGCATTTTGCAGCACTCACCTCTTGATGGTGGCACCTGGAGGTCAGCAAAGTGCAGATGCCAAAGGCAGTGAGGAGCTGAGGGGGTCACATTGCACTCGCTTCTCCTGGTGCCAGAGCTCTGGCAGTGATGGGAGCAGGATGCTGGCCTTGTGCTGCGGGGTCAGCCAGCACCACGCCAAGGAGGGCATGGTTCCCCCACCAGCACCACGCTGCCCCAGGGGGGATTGCCTCGTCTCCCCACCCTGACGAGCCTTACCTTCCTATAGTACTGCTCCTGCTCACAGTTCAGTTCCTGCGTGTTCCCTGTGGCCTCCTCCAGCATCCCTGCCAGGTGCTGCCTGAAGGACTGTCCTGGCTGCTGCCACAGTATAGCCTCCATCTGTGACAAAGCGATGCTCCTAGGGCACGCAATGACCCTGCCAGCAGTGCACCGTGCCCCACCACCCCTGGAAAAGCAGTGGCCTGCATCTATCTGCCCTCTTCCCCACATCAGGGCCTGGAGTGGTCATCTCTCCTGCCTGGCTTGGGCTCAGCATCCTCTGGGATGAGCCCAGACCCCTCTGATGGGGAGGGTGAAGCCCTCAGGAGCCCTGCTTTGGCAGCAGGGAGTCCTGCCGCTTTCGGCTCCTCTCTGGCACGCCAGCCACCTTATCCTCCCTGTATGATGGAGGAGGGCAAGACTGAGCTGCATGTGCAGCCCTCACCAGGACGGTGGTCGGTGTTGGGGACTGAGGACCCCAGGTGCCACCAGGTGCTCAGGTGGGGTGAAACCAGGAACGAGGCTCGGATAAGGAGACATCCTGGAGACATCCACCAGCCTCTAGGTGGTGAGGAGCCTGGTGCAGGCTCCCTCTCACCTCTGCAGCTCATGCTGCAGGCACATGAGGACGCTCTGCAGGTTGAAGCTCTGGCCCTGCTCCCTCTTGGAAGGCAGCTGGGGCTCCCTGGAGCTCAGCTGGAGGAAGGACAGACAGCCATGAGGGACAGACCCCTTCATGGTGAGTGGCTCCTCAGCCACACGGGACTGAAGGAGGCACAAGAACTAACTGGGAACAACCCCAGGGAGATCCAGAAACTTCATCTGGGTTATATAAAAGGGCCATAAAGAGCCTGAGCCACAGGAGGCGGGAGGACTGGCCCTGAACCCCATGGCTCTCTCTCCCCTCCCCTGAAGTGGTCCTAGGGCCCCATGCTCGGCTGTGACCTCCTTCCCACACAGGTTTCCACTGCCACAGAGCCTCCCCCACTCCCTTCGCTGCTCTGACCAAGGGCAGGAACAGTTTCCAGGGAAGCCTGGGGTTACTGAACTGTGCTGTGCTGCTGGGAGAGCCCTGACTTCCATCCATGGGCTATAATTACTAAGAGCTCTGGCTCAGGACCCGTGAAGCTGGGGAATCTGCCCCGGGAAAGGCTTGGCACACACTCTCCTCTCCAGGATTTGCAGGAGGTGCTGGAGGACTGAGGGCAGGTACAAGGGTACAGCCAGAAAGGCTATGCGCAAACAACAGCCAGTTGCTGCCCTGTCGTGGCCGGAGCTGTCCTAACTCAGGGCAGCCCAGGGGCTAAGCCTGTCCCGGGCAGCTCTCGGGAGGCGGAAGGTGACCAAGACCCCGCTCAGATCGGAGCACGGACCCAAAACACAGCCCTCGCCTCAGCGACAGCTGCTCCTCCTGGCGGCAGCCAGGCTGAGGACCGCCACCTCCGGCGCCACGGCCCGCTCCCACCCCGCTGCCGGGCCGTTTTGGGGCCGAAAGCGCCGGTTTGCCTGTCCCCCGCGTGGCGATGCTCCACGCGGCCCAGCACCGTCGCCAGGCAACCGCGCCGCCGGGGCGCGCCGTCGCCATGGCGACCGCAGCCGTCGCGCTTCGGGCGTGGGGGGCAGGGGGGCGGTGTTGCCGCGGTGACGCGGGGCGGGGCCCATCTGCGGGGCGGGGGCGGGCGGCCGCCGGGGCGACTGGGCGCAGGGGTCTCTGCTCGGTTGAGGGGCGCCGGGAGCTGCCTGCATCTGGCAAGCTTGAGCCTGGACCTGAGCCTGACCCTGACCCAGATGGAGCCGCGGGCTGGGCACGGGGGGTCCCACAGCCCTACCATGGCCACCGTAGCACGGCTCGGCTCCAGCATGAGCCTGCTCCCAGCTCCCGTGGGCACAACACAAGTGCAGAGCAGACCTGCCCCAGCAGCTGCAGGCAGCCAGGCCTGCTGGGCTGGGGTGGGAAGTTGGTGGCTCGCCTTCAGCTGGCACTGGCTGTGAGGGGATGCTGCAGGCATGCAGCTCCAATGCCGGGAAAGGTGTGGGAGACCACAGCATCATTCTGGTGTGACCTGCCGGCTGAACATCCCTTGTCAACCTGCTGGACTGCCAGGGGGGGCCCACAGTGTGACTCAATCCCCCGCCCTGGATCTGCCTCGGGGGGACATGGTGCTCCCGGCAGCTCTCCCTGGCACTCACCCAGCAGTGGTGCTTGACAACGCCCGGCTGTGGCTTCCCTCCGCCTGCCCCGCGCTGGCTCCCAGCCCTGCCCTCCCTGCCCACATATTTTTACTCCTGCTCGGAGCAGGCTTGGGACGGCAGTGGAGCTGCCATGGCAGCCAGCGTTTCCCACTGGCACAGCTACCTCGGGGTGATTGTGTCCCGCGAGAGGCAGCAGCTGGAGCACTTCCAGCGGGCTGAGAACATCCTGCTGACCCTGCTGGAGGGCGTCCACGCCAGGGAGCCTCGCTTCCTTGTGGACTATGCCAGGAACCTGGAAGCTTTTGAGTTTGCTCTCTCTGCCTCTGAGGATGCTGTCACTGTGGAGGTCTGGAGGTCCCCCTGCGGATCAATGGTGATGCTCTGCGGGTGCTGGCGTGCTGCCCTGGGGACACCCCAGCTGGGCACCGTTCGGGGATGGGCACCTGCTGTCTGGGAGTGCCCTCTCCAGGGACTGACTTGGAGGACTGGACCAGTGCCGTGGGTGTGGTGGAGCATGGAGGTGGCGCAGGTTGCCTGGTTCCGGACAAAGTACTCCATCACCTGAAAGAGCTCCTTGTTTCGGCTATCGTGTGCTGCCAACGCCGCTTCCTGCTTCAGCCAGGTGCGTACACCGGCATGGCGCTACCCCAGCTGGGAGCTGCTTCCAGCGCAGCTGGGGAGCCCAGCTCGGCAGTGGTCCCTTGCACAGACAGGCTGGGGTGTAAGTCCCCAGGTGCGTGGCCCGCCCAAAGCCTGCATGAGCAAATGGGTGCCCCGCTGTGCGCTGGGACAGGCTTTGCCCTCAGCTAAAGAAGGGGAGATGCAAACTACTCCCTGCCATCCTAGGGCAGCAGAGTCATCCTCAGGCAAGTTCACCCTGGGCTGATGGCACCCTCCTTGGTGGGTGGCAGCTCCACGCAGGGTTCACCCACCCCTGCCGTTTGTCCCTGGGGGGGGTTTGCTCAGGGATTTGGCATGCTTGGCTCACCCTAACCGTGTTCCCTCCATCTCTCCTGGCCTCCAAGTGTCCCCTGCTTCCTGCAGGAGGATGTTTGGAGGGTGAGTGTGTCAGGGCTGGACCAGTACCTTGGGGCATGGATCTGACCCTGCACACACACGGGGCCCCAGCTGGGAGCAGTGTCCCTGGGAAGGACACGGTGGGGAAGGGACCCTGGGAATGCCTGTAGGGGTCCCATCAGCTTTTTCATGCATTTCCATCTCCAAAGGTGCTTCTTGAAGTAAATCTCAGCCCTGATGGAAAGGTGATGTGAGAGGACCAGCAGGTCTGAAAGTCTCTTAACCCAGCCCCAGCAAGCCCACTGTTCTCTCCTTCCTCCTCAGCCAAGCCAGAACCCTTCGTCTTCCTCTACCCCCACAACCTGAGACCCTTCCTGGTCTGTTTTTCTTCGACCACGTTGTTTTTCTGTTCAGCTACCCAGCAGCATGGCTCTGTTAGGCTGCTCGGGACTTGCTGCTGTGCCCATACCCGCTGGCCTGGCCCTGAGCCCTGCTGGAGCAATGGTCCTTCCCAAAAACCACCGCAGTGGGGTTTGGAGAATGGCTTTCACTGGGGAACCACAGCCAAACCACAGCATTGGAGAAGGATGAGTCGAGTGGGGTGGGACGTGCTCACGGGCGTTGCAGCATATACCTGGTTCAGCCTGTGGGACCGGCTGTGGTAACCTCCTAACTGCAGCCAAACCCTCTGCATCTAGGTGACCTCAGTGCTGAAAATCTGTGGGAAGATGCTATGGAGCTCTCGCTGCTGATCCGCGGTGGCTGGAAGACTGTCCGCTTTGACATTGTCCCGGTGGTGAGGAGGCAGCAGGAGCCACTCCAGCTCAAGGGGCGGCAAAGCAACAGGGGTTTCCCTGAAGGCAGTCTCCGGAAGGCCACGGAAGAGGCCCACTTCATCCCTGCCTCTCCCCATTGCTGGAGGTGAGCAGCTTGCCTCGCACACAGGGTGACCCTGTCCCAGGGATCCTGCTAGGCCGGCAGCGCTGTTGGGTGTAGGCAAAAAGGGGATGGGAAAGTGGAGGGACATGCCAACAGGGGGATGAAGCCACGCCCTCGTGTTGCCCAAACCAGCTGCCCTGTGTTGGGAGAAAAACCTCAGCCAAATTTCAGACAGCTCAAGGAAAGAGGGGGGGGGTGTGCAACTGAAGGAGCCCCCTCCAAACTGTTTGCAGGAGCTGAACCCCAGCTGCATGGAGGGTGGCAGCTCTCAGACCTCTGCTCGGGCTTCAGGAGTGAGCCTGGTCAGCTGGCAGCAGCAGGGTGATGAGCCGCCTCCCAGGGCAGGCTGCGGGTGGGAGGGAGGCTGGGTTGACACACATCTTTCCTGCCAGCACAGCTACCTGGCCCCAAGGAGGGGCCGAGCATCTGGCTGGACCAGCCCAGGCTTATTTTGGGCACAATGTGGTCCAGCTGAATGCTCGGCCCCTCCTTGGGGTCCAATCCAGCCTCCTCTCTGGGGCAGCCTGCAGCCCTCCCCCCTGCACGTAGGGGAGCACAACCTTACTTCACCTCCCCTCTTGTCCCTCCTGGGAAGGCAGGAGCTACTCAGAAGCATCCCCATCAGGCTGAAAATCTACCTGGTCCCTCTTCACCAGAGGCAGGTGTGGGAGGCGGATCCAGGATGCTGTGTGCCTGGGGCCACATGGGTGGCCAGGGGGATCCCCACACGTGTTGAGTCACTGCAGGTACCCTCTCCCCAGCTGGGAGGATGCAGGTCTCCATCTTCCCTCTGACCAGACCCTGCTTTCTCTCGCCAGATCCTCCACTCACCTCCCCATCCTGAAGCTGCTCCAGGCAGTGGACACACTGAAGGGACCCCGTCTGGACAGTCTTCGCCTGCTCGACCAGCTCCGCAGCCAGGACTGGGGAGAGGAGCGGGGGAAAGGTGGTTTCACCTTCAACCACCTGAAGGTAAGTAGGTTCCACTGGCAGCACTGTGGCTCTCTGGGCAGGCAGAGCCAAGGCTGCTCCCCTGCACCCCACTGCGGCTGATCACTGCTGGAAGAAGATCCCAAGCAACAAACCCAAGTGTCTGCAGTGCTTTGGGATGTACCAGCCCATGAAGGTGTCCAGAAAGGATGCACACTGCTGGCCATGGTTAGAGGGATTTGATCCTTCTTCCTTGCGAACCGCAGGCACTTGCTGGATTGAACCAGCAACCTCCAGCTTGAAACACCCTAGGTGTTAAGAGCTGGGGCTCTGTGCCAGTGTGCTAGGCATCCCCTGGCACAGGCTGCCTGTGTCTGCAGGGGCCATACTGGGGATTGCATTGCCGTGCCTGCCATGCTGTAGGTTGTCCTGTGCCCCTGTGTGCTGGGAGGTGCCCATGCAGGGCTGAGGGTGGCGTTTCCTCTGACAAAACCCTCTTTCCCCACCCAAACTGTTTTTGGCACTCTGGCACCACGCCAACTGGTGACGCCGGTTGGGAAAGGGGCCATGCTGGGGACAGCACCTGGTGGCACAATCCAGGTGTGCCCTGCCTTGTGGTGGCTCTCCGGGCCGGGGTGGAGAAGGAGGCAAAGTTGTCTTCTGCTGAGAGAATGGCTCCAGCTCCAAGTAACCCAAATCCTGTGGGTTTTCCTTTATGTTGCATTCTTTGATTTTTTTTTTAAAAAAAAGGCACAGTATGCATCTGTCCTTCAAAAAAGCACCTTCTGCTCCAGCCCACTGCATGTGTTGCCCGTTACGCCATGTCACCAAAAGGCATTGGTGCCAGGCCATTTGCCAACGCAGTGCTGAGGAAGCTGGCGTGGAAGCTGCTGGGGGTTCACCTGCCTTGCCAGCAGCTGATGGAAACCACAAGCAGGGTTTTTTATTATTGCTTGGTGCCTGTGGAAAGCTTGGGCGTGTTGTTTCAGAGCTGCTGCAGAGCTGGGACCTGCCGTGGAACTGACACAGGGGCTCTTAGGAGAGTGAAGCAAAGGTTCAAAACTAAGGGGTGGTGTGGCTCCGAGAGCCTGCACAGCCCTAGGCTGCTGAGGATGTGATGTCCATGTTGAGGGCTCAGCCCCACAGGTAGTAGTTGCATGGTGACGTGCAGGGTGTGAAGACACCACCTTTGTGGGGAGTGTCCAATCCCACACCCTTCTCTCCCTCCCTGCAGATGGTGCTGCTGTGGAGCACAGAGCTCTTCCCGTCCCCAGAGGACTGGCAGGACCTGGAGGGCTCTGTCTACAGGCTCTTGGTGATCCTCCTCCACTGCCTGGCCACTGGGCACTTGCCCCACTTCCTGCACCCGGAGGAGAACCTCTTCCAAGGAGAGCCCCTGGACCTCGCCTCCCTCTACCGTAAGGTGGAAAGCTTCGCCTGGGACCCCCGACGCTTCCTCCGCTTCCATTTTGGCTTCCCTGCACGCACTGACAGCTGGCAGGCAGACCCCGGCACCCGAGCCCTCCTGCAGCTCCCCGCCAAGGACGGGTCATACTGGGACACAGCCTACTTTGACATCCTGCTCAGCCAGGTAACAGGGACCAGAGAACCTGGGCTGGTCTTGTGAGGCAGAGCGCAGCAGCGCCAGAAACCACCTGGGCTGGGCAGCTTAGGATGCACTGGAATTTGCCCCCAGAGTGCTCCAGCCCCTGGCAGCTGCTGGCATTCGCTGCCCAGCCCCGCTCTGGAGGCTGTGGGAGGCTGGCGATGCTGGGGTGCGGGGCTCAAGCAGAGCAGGGAGCCCTCTTGCCTCACTCCCCACCTGCCTCCGCTTAGTTCCAGGTGTACCGGATCGAGGACGGCGCACGCCACTCGGCAATGTCCCAGCTCCTCTCCAAGATCCAGCGAGAAATCTCCCAGCAGAGCTGAGCAGGACCCCGCTGCTGCCCCATCTGGGTGTGTCAAAACTCGGGGGGATGCAAGACGAGCTACAGGGCCAGGAAGCAGCATGCTGCCATGTTGCTTTATTGAGGAAAGATGGTACTAGGGAGCAAGCTCACGTCTGCTGCAGCTGGGTGGGGATGCACGGCCTCTCAGCTCCCCTGGTAGAGCTGGGTGCCGGAGCAGGTGTTTCATCCCAGGGTACCTAATCTGGGGGGGATGGATAGCATCCTGCACAGCTGGGCTCTGGTGCAGGGACGGCTGAGGGTGATGGTGGTGGGAGGGGAAGGGACCTGTGGTCGGATCCTGCATCCAGCCCTCGTGTCACCTTGCAGTGGGGCTGCCGTGCCCTGGGGCCAGGGGAAGGGGAGAAGCTGGGGGGCTAGGCCATCAGGGTGAGAAGTGACCCTGCGCAGGGGACCTGGAGAAGGGGTTTTGAGCCACACCTTGCATCTGCTGAGCTTGCATCTGCTGAGCTTGCATCTGCCCTCACCTCCACATCCCCTGCTCTTCCAGCTTCTCCTTCCTGCTCTGGCTTGGGTTGCTGTGTTGCAGTATTTCCTGCCAGCTCCCTGGGGAGGCAGTGGAGCCTGACAGCTGCCTGCAGCCGGGCACTGGGGGGAGCGCTGTGCCAGCTTGTCCGGACCCCTCCTTTGCAGGGGTGCTCACAGCCTGCTGCGGCGGCAGCACCCGAGGGCGTCTTGCAGAGCATGCAGCACACGGTCCACGTTGCTGCTAGTTGAATTGCAGCCCATGAGGCCAATTCGCAGGACCTAGGAGGAGAAGGTCAAGTGCCTCCCTGCAGCACCCACCTTTGCAGCCATGCCCTGGTGCCATCTCCCTGCGAGCAGAGTGGCTGGCAGCAGAGCGCAGGCTCCCGTGCAGAGCAGGGGACATGTGAAGAGTGGCCACGTGCACAGCCAGGCATGAGTGCATGCGCACAACTCCCTGCTTGCTTCTATATAACACGTGTTTCCTCTAAAGACGTGTCACCCTGCTAATTATGTGCATGGTTATTCAATTATACGCAGCAATTGTGTGTGGTTAGGAGCAGCTATGCATTGCTGCAGGTGATGGGATGCATCCAGCTCTGTGTTTGCTGTTTGCAGCCAGAGAGCACCAGTTAATCATGGGGCACGCCACTGATGGATGAGGCTACAGCTGGGTTCGATGCCTGGCTGTGGGCAGTGGGAGGGAAGGACGCTGTCTACCTTGCCCACCGAGGGGCCCAGGCCCCCGGCGATCTCGATGGCATGGTTGTCCATGAGAAAGGCTGTGATCTCCTTCCAGTCATAGCCCTCAGGCACCTTGACAGTGGTAATGGTGGGAAGTCTTGCCTTCTGGGGAAAAGAGAAACTGAGCTAAATCTGCAGCTCCTGGACATGGCCCTGTCTCTCGGTGAGCCCGGCAGCCTGCCAGGAGGGAGCGTCGCTGTGGGGGGAGTTTTTTCTCTAGCATCAGAAGCTGCCTAGGCATGTCTCCAGCTGCACAGGGCCATGTCGTCACACTGCCCCTGCACCATGGCGGTGGGCTCGCCCCGCACCCACCTCCTCCTTCACGAAGAGCTCGAGCCCCAGGTCGCGCAGCCCCTGGCACAGCTGGGCACAGTTGGCCCGGTGGCGCTCCCACGAGCTCTCCAGACCCTGTGGGCAGAGAGGTGGGAGAAGGTCCTGGCACCCACCGCTCCCCTAAACCCCACCAGCACTGCTGGTGCCCCCCTGCCTGTCCAGCACGGCTCACCAGCTCCACCAGCATGGCCAAGCCTTCCCGCAGGCTGAAGAAGCTGTTGATTGGTGCTGTATGATGGTACCTGCAAAACCCAAGGGGCACCCTTGGCAGGTTTGGCCTGGCCTGCAGCAGAGCAGTACTCCACCTCACGGTGGGGGGGAACCAGGGCACAGTGTCCTCCCTCCTCTTCACCCAGTGCAGAGGGGATGGAAATACCCCAGGGTCGCTTTGCAACCAGCGGACAGGGTGATGGGGAGACAGGGCCCAAGTCCTGCAGGGCAGACAGCCCCCGAGCTGGGGCGAAGGCTGTGGGTGGGACAGCTGCGGCCATCTGTCCTGGGATGGCCTGCCCTCACCTTCGTGGCTCCCTGTCGCAGCCCCAGTAGTTTGCCAGCCAGCCCATGTCCAGATAGAAGGATGGGGGCTTTGTCTTCCTCCTCAGCATCTTCTCCCTGGTGAAGCAGAGTGCTGGGGAGGAGCCAGACCTTGACCCCACCACCTCTGGGGTGGCATCAGTCCTGCAGGAGGGTTCCCCCAAAGCAAGTGCAGAGGTTGGCTCCAGCACCCATCACTGTTCAGGGATGGGCCAGGCTGTGACCCTGCAGAGCTGCTGCTGGGCATGCTCTCCAGAGTGGGGCTGGAGTGGATGGCTGGCAAAGCTGGCAGGGTGACAGCCTCCACCCAGCCCCATCATCTTTCCCTCTGGTGGGACGGGGCTGCACTTACCTGGCTCGCTCGCTGAATGAGATGGGGGCACTGCCAGGGGGGGCGTTGAGGACTTTCTGAGACCCTGAGTATAGGACATCGATCTCTGCCCAAGAGGGGAGGCAGCTCCTTAGGGACTGGGGGCTCCCAGCAGGGACACACTGAGCCCCCCCAACCCGGCTGCAAGTGGTGAGTGGGAAGCACAGGGTGGCACACGCCGCAGGTCCTGCTTGTGTTTGGCCTGCTTTGAGGGACACCCTGGCACTGCTGATGGTCCTCTGAGAGGAGCAGGCTCTCTGGCTGCAGCTGGACCAGTTTCTAGTGCTGCTAGCTCGAAATGCAAGTGGTGGGGCTGATCCCACTGCCCTCCCTCCCTGGCCCAGGCATGAGTCCCCTTGTCCCCTGGGTGCCCGTGATGGCACTGTGGCTCTTACCCTGCTGGTCCATGAAGAGGGGAGCTCCCCCAAGTGATGCCACCGCATCCACGAGCAGCAGGCAGCTGTGCCTGTGGGAGGATGGAGCTCAGCCTGGTGTCCCTGCCACCTCCTCCTGCCACTTCCTCTTGCCACTCCTCTGCCTGCAGCCCCAGCATCCCAGTCTCCCCAAGGCCGCATGTCTCACTGGCACCAACCACTTCCAGCACAACAGAGCCAGAGGAGAGCCCAGGGCATGTAAATCCCCACGCCCCAATCCCCGACGGCAACCTTGGGGTGCCGCCAGCCCCCATGGGTGCCCGCTGTGCACTGACCGGTGGCACAGCTTGCCCAGCCCCTCCAGTGGCTGGCGGCCCTCCAGTGGCTGCAGCACCCCCGTGGAGGACTCGCCATGGGTGATGAACAGCACCGAAGGCTTGTGCCGTGCCAGGCCCTGCATGAAACAGAGGGGAAGGTGACCACCCCTGGGGCCAGCTCATGTCCGCCGCCCCACACCGCGGCTGTCACTCACCTCCTCGATGTCCCACAGAGCAAAGTACTCGCCCGGGGGCTTCAGCAGCTCATGGACATTGGCTCCTGGGAGGGATTTTGGCAGAGGGAGAGCAAGGTTTGGGCATGCCTCCCACTGGGCAGCCACCTGCTCTGCGAGGGAATCGGTCATGCGTGAAGCAGGAGCGCAGCTGCCTGCCAGGATCTGGCCTCCAGCGGATTTGGCCAGTGGAAAAGCCATAAACCACTGTAAGCGAAGGGACATCACCCTGGAAAAAAACTGGAGCGCTCTCCAGCTGCGGAAGCCATGTCACCGGCCACTGCCACCAGGATGGGGACAGCAAGCCAGGGGTAATGTTCTGGCATCCCACACACAAGCCCGGTCCCCTGAGCCCTGCCAGTGCCATCCAGCTGTCCCCAGCGTACCCAGCCTCCTGGCAATGTCAGCGGCGCGTTGTCCCCAGATGCCATTGACCGCCACCAGCGCGGTATCACCGTGCTCCAGGAGGTTGAGGAGGGCAGCCTCCATGGCGCAGTGGCCGGTGCCGCTGATGGCCAGTGTTAGCCAGTTCTGTGTCTGGAAGGCATACTGGATGCCCGCCTTGATCTCATCCATCACCTGCAGCGGCAGGGTCCGACTGGCACTGCAATTGCCACCCTCGCCCAAGCAGAGCTGTCCTAGCCCTTTGTGGGGCGCAAGGGAGAGGAGGGGAGGGGAGGGGAGGAAGGCTGGGCTGAGGCAGCTCACCTGCAGTACCTCGGGATGCATGTGGCCCAGGAGCTGCTGGCTGCCCGCAGCCAGGATACGGGGGGGCACGTTGCTGGGCCCTGGCCCGAGCAGCAGCCTCTCTGGCACGGCCAGGGGCCGGAGCAGCCCCTGGGGCGGGGGGACACGGAGCAGGCCAGTGGCCATGGTGCGCCTTGCCATCCCCAGGAGCCGAGCCCGGAGGAGAGGAGCAGTGGAGGCTGCCTGTGCAGCACCCAGTGCTGCAGCGCAGTGCATCCTGTCCCAGCAGTGTCCAGTGTCCCTGTGGACATTGACCCCAGGGCTCGGTACCCCCTCCACTGGCCTGGACTCTGCCCCGGCCTCCTCCTTATCTGGTTAATGTGCCACCAGCACCATCTCTGCTGTCTCAGCCACCTCATTTTGGGTGTTCCCCCCTTGCTAGTGCTGGCGGGGGGGTGGTCCCCAGGCATGCCAGCCTCTGGGACTGGCAAGCACCCATGCAGACCCTGTCCCCACAGCCCCCGGGACACCATGGCTGATGGTTCCCAACACCATCCCAGCAGGTGGGATCCCTGCTCCTGGCCACGCAGGTCCTGTGCCATGGGATGGTTGTGCTGGGACTGGCCCAGCACAGCTGCCATGGTCACAACTCCTCCAGCAGCACAAAGCTCTGTTGGCCAGGTCTCCCTGACCAAGGACCTGCTTTGCAGAAGTATACCTGGCCGAGTGAGAGACGCCTGGAGGAGGGTGGCCATTGGGATGGCCTGCATGAGGGCAGAGCCATGGGGTGGGACATGGCTGCAGTCCCTGCCGCAGCGAGCTGTGCTCTGTGGGCTCAGCCTGGCTTGCGGGCATCACAGTGTGTCCTGATGATGCCACAGGCCATGCATGCCTGTTCAATATGCTGTGCCTGTCACCCCCCATGTGTGCCCATGGTCCATTGTATCATGCCCATCCTCCGGCACATTCTTTGCCATCCATACTCTGAAACGCAAACAAGCTGCCCGCTGCTGGCTCCTGGCAGGTCCAGGAGTGGGTCCCTGGCCAGAGGAGCCACTCAGTGAGCAAAGCTTTGGGCTAGGGATGACGGTTATGAGGTGGAAAGCCACCCCCGGGCAGAGCTGGCACTGCTGGCTGGTGCTGAAGGCATTTGGGGCAGGTGCGTGGGGCTGGCAAGGTGCCAGGCAAGAGCACTTCTGCCCGGGCAGCCGGATGCTGGTCTCTGAGAGGAGCTGGGAGCCAGTGTGGCCGACACTGCATGGATGATGGAAAGCACCGTTAGCTGGGGGACTGCTGCCCAGTCATCATCTGCTGAAGCGAGGACCAGAAGTCTTGATGTCCTGAGAGGTCCTGAGCTAGCCCCTCGTCCTGTGCCCCAGCCACGTGCTCCTCTGGCTGAGGGGACTTCCTGCCACGAAGATTACTGCTGGATGCTCACAGCATCACTGAAATGCTCAGTCCTTAAAACACTGGCAGGAGAGACTCGCTGGAGACCCACCACCACTGCTGCGGGTGGGTGGATGGAGACCTCTCTGCTGCCTGTCCTCTAGGGAGACTTGGGGAAAGGCTGGACAGGGAAGGGCCATGTGGCCTCGCGGTTGGCGTGGAGGGGCGAGGGAGGATGCGCTGCTGGAAACAGCTGGCGGCAAAGGTATAATCTTCTTTCCGCGCTGGGTCTAAATTCCCCAGCGCAGATGGACAGGGAGCCGGCCGTGCCACCCCAGGGGCTGCGGGGCGGGGGCAGCATCAGGCCGGAGGGGCGAAGGAGCTCTGCACCGGGGGGGGCTGCTGACAGCCGGGGCTGCCGGGGGCTGGGGGCCAGGGGCCGGGGCCGG